GGATGTGGGTATTGGGGTCTTGAAGGTTGCTGCTTGGTCTCCTGGGCTTTGTCCTCACTGTCTAGGCCCCGGGCTTTGGGCCCTGGTTCAGCTGCCGGCTGTCCGACCGTCGATGGGTCCCTTACCAAAGCAAGGAAAACTTGTTGCCTTTGAGTCGATCCTGACTCAAGGCGACCCCCCGGGTTACAGAGTAGAGCTGAGCTCCATAGGAGTTTCTATGCTTTTTGGAAGGAAAGCCTGGTGGTACAGTTTGCTCAACTGCTAGTGGAACGTTTGGTAGTTCAAAGCAGCACTTAGAACTAGTTCGTTCTGGTTCGACCTTCTGAGGTATTTTCACCCCAAATACACTGAATTAGAATCTACATTTTAACAAGATTCATGGGTGATTCTAATGTATATCTGGGATGGGACCTTTAAGAATCACCTGGAGAATCTTAAGAATCTTCTGGGGTGAAAATGCAAATTCTCCTCAGGGGGTCTTACCAGAAAGAACCAGTTAACTAGCCCACTCAGAGAAGCTTCAGAAGACAGGCCTGGTGATGTGCTTCTGAAAGGTCACAGCTTTGAAAACTCCATAGAGCAGTTCTGCTGTGCACAAGGGGTTGCCATGAGTTGCAATTGACTGAACATTCACTAAACAATCTTTACAGAAGCGGATCACCAAGCATTTTTTTTCCATGGTGCCACTGGGTAGGTTCAAACTGCCAGCCTTTCAGTTAGTAATCAAGGGTTTAACTGCTTGCTCTATTCAGATCTCTTAACCTGTGTAAAATGGCATTCATAGCAGGACCTGCTTCTTTAGTGGGTTGTTGCAAGAAGTAGGTGAAATCATGCCTCTCTTGATAACAGAGTCTGCAAGGGAATAAGCCCCAGTAGATGCTAGTTGTTGTCATTGTCACTAGTCTAGGGTCACACCACCCATTTGTAAAGAGGCTGTGGGAAATCAGCTCTTTAGGTCTCTTGACCCATCTGTGAAATGGGAAGATAACCATCATGTCTTTGCTGACCACTTTGGGCACTGAGTTATGCTCCCACACACTGCTGTATGCCCAATCCTTACAGAGCCTCTTTTAACAGACTCCAAGGAAATGAGCTTAGAGAAGAAAATTATTCGTCTGAGATCACTTTCTCTTCTCAGATGGCTCGTAACTAGAGGTTTCCTGAGGGCAGAGGCCTCCTTAGAAGAGTCTGGCCTGCCCTCTTGAAGTACCTTGCTGGATTGTTGTTGCCTTGTCTCTTTGAGGGATGTATATGTGGTCATCCTCAGTGCCTTTTCTCCCCTCACTACAGGTTGGAGAAGCATGACAGCAAGGCGGATTGCACAGGAGACTTTTGATGCTGTGTTGCAAGAAAAAGCCAAGCGATACGTGGACTCCAGTGCTGAGGCTATAGGTGAGACTCTTCAGTTTAAAGCTCAAGGTAAATTGAAGTGTTTTTTGAGGGAAACTATTGGGTACCAGGCAAGAGAATTTCAGTGATTCAAGCAAACTATGAACCCCTCTGATTATTACTTGTTAGAAGATTTTCTCTGGACTTACCTGTCACGTCACCATGCAGACCAAGGTGAAGGTATTGTCACTATCAAGTTTTTGGAAGCCTGTGGCTAGTTCTCAACCTTCTTCTCTAGGCCTCCTTCTTCCATCTTGAATGGAAGATAGAATGGATAGATTCTTGAATCAATCAGGCCTTATCCCCACCATAACTGTCCACTTTGAGCTCTTCCCAGGTCTTATCTCCCCTCACATCTACTCCCTACTTAATGCCACACAGAGCTGTTCACGTCATTCTCACAGGGCCAAAGCCCTGTTTGGAGTCCGAGGGCTCTCCATTGCAGGGTTAGATCCTCAGATGAGTACAGGAGCAGTCAGGTGCCTGATGTGTGCTTTGGATTGGGTCAAGCAGAGGAAGTAGGGGTCTGTGGAGCTGCTGAGCAGGCCCTGCTGGAAAACGGTCCCCGTAAATCTTGTGCTGTGCTAGCAAAATAAACACGGTATCCACATATTCCCTGCTAGGATACTGTGGATGCAAGGCTCCCGACTCCCGTGTCTTGCCCCATTCTTCACACTCCAGGGATGCTGTGATGTCTGCACACCTTGCTTTGCCTGGTTAAATCCTCAGGCACAAGACTTGTTTAGAGGTACCTCCCCTAAGAAGCCTCCCCAGGCCTCCTGACTGATTTGCCTCTCTGCTTGAACAGTTTCTCTCAGAAAGATCAGCACAAGGCCAGTCCCCATGAGGTGGAGGTTAAAGATACCCAGATATCCAAACTACTGTGCCACTCCGTCATTTCAGACATTAACTCCTCCTCCCAGTAATTTCCCCCATCTTAGGGTTTTCTGTATTTCACTGTAACACCTCACAGAACTCACAGACACCCGAGGGTTCATCTCACGTAGTAGTGGTGGAAGCTAGCAGGCTGGCGAGTCCCAGGTCTGTGAGTGGGTCTGGAGGATCCTCCCAATTCTTGGGGTTTGATGAACCTCAATCAGCAGATCAGATGACGGCTGCTGTCCCAAATCCAGGGGTGAGATGAGGGTGAGCCAAAACAGAACCAGAACAAAAGGAGGGCAGACCTTCTCAGGAGATTCATGTATACCCTCAAGGAAGCTAAGGGTGTAATTTGAGTTATACCCTCCAGCAAGGCAGGACTCAAGATACATTCCACCTGTGTTGCTCCAACAGAAATAACCCAAGTGGATGGTTTTAACAATCATCAGCTCAAGGCAAATCCCACCACAGAGCCGATTGCCAACCAAATTGATAACCGACCTTAACTACCACACCACCCCAAACAGGCATGGATAATATGATTTACAATAATCACAGAATGGAGGACAGCGGCTAGAAGGGCCACATTAAGCAATTGACTGCACTCTCTCAACCTACTGTACCTGGTATACTTTGCTCATGCCCCAGGGCAGCACCACAGGCAAGAAAACAGGCTATAGGAGTTTGTGAGCCTTTGGCCTGGAGAAGCACAGTGCTTGCAGTGTTGGTTTAACCTGAGTGCTTGGTGCTGAGATAACTGTCCTTATTCTCTTTGGGCCTGAAGAAACAGGCTCAGAGGCTGTCTCTAGATTTTGAGAGTTCAAATGTGTGAACAACTGTGCAAAAACATTCTCATTAAAAGACCTGCAAAATTAAGTAGTTAGGAGGGAGATATGAAAGGCTTCTTATCTATATCCTTTATGCCTTCAGGTAAATGTGATTTTTCTATTTTCTGAAATATTTGCTTATATAACTCAATTATTAATACACATGAAAATTTAGATGTTGGTTTGTCTTCATCTGGAGGATCAAATGCTAAAACACAATTACTTACAGAAGGATTTTGGGGGTATGGAACTAGAAATCTAAGAAACACTAGGTTCTAGAACCATCTCTGTCATTAAAGCTGTGGGGTCATTGGTTGGTGAGTCTCACTTTTTATCTCTGCTCTACTTTGAACTTCCTGCTTCCTTGTAAATCAGGAAATTTGACAAATACTGTATAGAACTCAGCCACCACCCCCTATAATGGTACCACTCAAACCATGCCCCAGTACTCTGGTAGCCAAAGTCTGGATCGTTGTGGTGGTCTCCACACAGACCTCTGCATCCACTCTTGCCCCCGTGTAGTGGCCAGAGATCAGTTTCTGCTCAGAGCCCTTCATGAACCTTCTTTCCCATTCGGAGTAAACTACAGTTCATTGGGGCGTCTTCTCCTGCCACAGTTCCCTGACTTTGTTCTCACATGTTAGAATCATTTGGGGACCTTTGTGCTATTATTTTTGCTATCTGGAGATAGCACAGCTTGGGAACCTCCTCCTATCCTTTGTTCATCATTCTCTCTATACCACCCACACCCAATCCTCTGCCCCACCTCTGGACTTGCCTGAGGGCTCCACAATAGCCAGGCAGCCTAGGCCTCCATTCTCTGCCACTGCCATTCATGTGTCAGAGCAGCCCTACCCGACCACTCTGCATACAAGTGGCGGCCCCTGTTCACCTATCCCCCACACATGGCCCCTACTCACCTATCCCCCACATACCCTCTCTTCACCCCTCTCTCACCTATCCCTGCTTGCTTGCCAGCCTGCCTGATCCTTCTCCCTGGAGCTCACTTCTGACCATTTTTGGTCATCATCTAGCCCCCACTGAGGAAGCATCCCCAGGAGAGTAGGACTTCACTATTTGGTCTCCTTACTATAACTGTGTGCCAGGAGCAGCACTCAACAGTCAGTGCTCTGTAAAGACTGGTGATAAAGGAGCCTCGCTGCAGTTTCTTGGCCTCTCTGGCCTGTGACAACCTCATGACATCGCTCTCTGCTCCTTTATTTTTCATTTGATTGTTTTAAAATACGTAATGGGTTCTGATTCAACAGCCAGGTAAAGAGGCATTCAGTGATAAGTTTCTCTTAGTGTATGGTTCCTATGTACCCATAGTTCACGTGTGCTCCCAGCTTCTTGCATATATCAACAAATGCAGACATGTGTTTTAGTGTACTTTCCGCATAGAGGACAAGTGGCACAAGCTGTTCCATTTTTACCATGGCTTCTCTGGATGGAGCTTTTTAACTTCTGCCTTCCCTACTCCCTGCTGCAGCCTCATTACTCAGCTCCAGAAAGAGAGCTGATGGGCCCAGCAGACCTTTGTGAGTGACAGTATCTGCTGCCTTGGGCCAGTCATTGTGCAAGTGGGGGGGATGGTCAGCCATGGCTTAGCCTGACTGCAGACTGTGGGCAGTAGTGTCTCCTGGGAATGCCTGAGGGCAGGTGGTCCCCATAGAACCTGAGACAGAAGCAGAAATAGACAGTCTAGTCACAATAGCTATGAGTCGGGGCCGACTTGATGGCAAATAACAACAACAACAACAAAGTCACAATAAAGACGTCCAGGTGACTTGAGGACCAAGCAGCATTCCCTGAGTCTAAAAAGAATTGCTACCCCATATACTTGTAGGACAGGGGATCTGAAGGAGAGAGGGGAGTAGAGGCTGTCACTAGGGCCCCATGCTTCTAGTCTTCTGCTTTCCTAAATGGTAAGTCCAGGCTTTTTAAGCAAAATGCATAGATCTCATATGTTGGTGACAAAAGCAAGTTTGTAAAAAGCACTCTGACCTCACAGAACACCTCTGGGCAGAAGGATCATATGTATAGCCTCTGTTTGAGTGGCTTGTGTGTTTCTCTTTGATTTGTGTGTTTCAGATCTCTTGAGGACCATCCCCCGACCCACAGCAGAAATGTATGACGATATTCACAGTGAGGCCAGGTACTCTCTCAGCAGGTCTGTAACCCATTCTCGGGACACTGGTAGAGAAGGCCTCAGAGGAGATGTATTTCCAGGGCCTTCCTTCAGATCCAGCACCCCTTCCGTGAGTGATGATACCTACTTTCACAAAGAGTTGGATTTTTCCCACTCTGACTCTCGGGACCAGGTCTTTGGCCACCGGAAATTGGGACATTCTCAGGACTGGAAATTTGCACTCCATGGCTCTTGGGAACAAGACTTTGGCCATCCAGTTTCTCAAGATTCCTCTTGGTCACAGGAGTATACATTTGGCCCTTCAATATTGGGGGACTTTGGCTCCTCCAGGCTCATTGATAAGGAGTGTTTGGAGAAGGAGAGTCAAGATTATGACTTGGACCATCCAGGTGAGGCAGATCCTGTGCATCGGGGCAGCAGCCACGTGCAGGGCAGAAGTCGTGTTCTCAACATTGCTGACCAGGAAAGTGGTCTCCTGGGAAAGGGGGAAACTCAGGCTATGCTCAAGGCCAAAGGAGATGTTGGGAAACTCGTTACACTAAGAAACGTGAACACGAAGAAAGCACCTGCTCTAAGTCGTATTCCTCCCAAAACTCAGGCCACTAACCAAGTCCAGAAAACCACCCTAAGTCCTGATGTGACCCTTGGGACGAACCCGGGGCCAGAAGATATCCAGTTCCCTGTGCAGAAGATGCCCTTGGGGCTCGATCTGAAGAATGTCCGGCTCCCCAGAAGGAAGATGAGCTTCGACATCATAGATAAGTCTGATGTTTTCTCACGATTTGGGATAGAAATCATCAAATGGGCAGGATTTCACACCATAAAAGATGATGTTAAATTTTCCCAACTTTTTCAGACTCTATTTGAGCTTGAAACTGAAACCTGTGCTAAAATGCTTGCCTCGTTCAAATGCTCCTTAAAGCCAGAGCACAGAGATTTTTGCTTTTTTACTATCAAATTTTTAAAGCACTCTGCTTTGAAAACACCTCGAGTTGATAATGACCTTTTAAACCTGCTTTTAGACAAAGGTGCTGTGAAAACCAAAAATTGCTTTTTTGAAATCATAAAGCCCTTTGACAAGTACATAATGAGGCTGCAAGACAGGCTTCTGAAAAGCGTCACACCCCTGCTCATGGCCTGCAATGCCTACGAGCTCAGCGTCAAGATGAAGACTCTCACCAACCCCCTGGACTTGGCCATTGCTCTGGAGACCACCAACTCTCTCTGCCGCAAGTCCTTGGCCCTTCTGGGACAGACATTTTCCTTGGCCTCTTCTTTCCGGCAAGAGAAAATCTTAGAAGCCATTGGCCTCCAAGATACAGCTCCCTCTCCTGCTGCATTTCCAAACTTTGAGGACTCCACTTTGTTTGGAAGAGAGTACATAGACCATCTGAAGGCCTGGCTGATCACTAGTGGGTACCCACTCCAGATTAGGAAGATTGTACCTGAACCAACACAAGAAGAGGAAAAGACAATTCCTTCCCTGAAACCTGACATTCAGACCAAGGCCCCAAGTGACCTCAGTGATGGTAAGGAGGGAAAGTTTGTTTGTTGTGGCTTGTTTGTTTTTTCTTTTGAGACATATCTCTTATTTCCTTTGAGATTTTCACCCAGACTGGACATTCTATAGCCACCTGGAAACATCATGATTTTAGTAGGTGACTCACATTGGTAAGTATAGGTAGTCCCTGACTTATGACATACTCAGGTTATAACGTACCACAGTTATGACAGCTGTGGTTTTTGGTTTCTCTTTTTCTTTGAGAGTGCTTTTTTTTTTTTTTTTTTTTTTTTTTTTATTGTGATTTGGGTGAAAGTTTACAGAGCAAATTCACTTTCCATACAGCAGCTCACGTATACTTTCTCTCATGGCATTGACTGCAGTTTCCCACAGTGTAACAGCTCTCTTCCCACTTCCTCCCCGTAGTTACCTCTTTCCTGTGTCTTTCCTTCCCATGTACTCCTGCCCCCCGAGCTGTCTCCGTGTGCACACATAGCCCTTCTGTTCTCACATGATTGATCTCTCCAATAAATGTATCTATCTGATGTAAATGGTCAGCCTATATGCCTTCTTGTATTTGGCTGAAGTCATAGGAGTGAGTTCAATTCCAGACCTGAAGGGCAGCTAGGGGCCATAGTCTCAAGAGTCTCACCAGGCTCTATCAGACCAGCAAACCTGGTCTTTTTTTTTTTTTTTTTAATGATTTTGAGTTTTAGCCAGGGACCATCTTCTGGTCTCATGGTCATGCAGGCTGAGGATTGCATGGTCTGATTGTTTCCATGCATCTTTGGTTTTCTTCATTCTTCTTTCCTCTGGACGAAGGGAGACCCATCGTTGCATCTAGATGATTGCTTAAAAGCTTTTACGATTCCAGTTGCTACTCACCAAAGTAGAATGTGGAACAATGTCTTTGTGTAGTGGGTTATGCCAGTTGAGCTTGATGTCCCCTGGGACCATGGTCCCGAGTTGTGTGAGTATATCTTATGAGTAATACGTGTTACATATAATGTTAAATAAAATATATCAGTAAGTTTATATGTAATGTTTTCAACTCCCAAAGATAAAGATCATATTTATAAAGGTACTGATATAAAAAGCAATAATAATGAAAACTTAAAAAAAGTTATCGGAGTTACATCAAAACTGACTTAAGATGGTGTCATTGGAGTAGGAACTACATGTATACGTGTCTGCCATCCAGCTTGTAAACATGTCAAGAAACTGTCCCCACTGAAATCCTCAGACATTCACCCTTTGTGGATCTCATGTTGAGTTGTAACTTTTGCTTAAAAAAAAAAAAAATTGCACTTATATTTGTACACGATTTGGCTACAATTTCTGCCTATAGTTTTTACCCCCTGAAGCTAAGGTTAAGATCCTTGTTCCAATGCAGTCAGTCCCCTCCAGAAATATGATGAGAGGAAAAACATTTCATGATCCTTGCCTCTGAGAAGTTCCCAGGCTCTTAAGAGTAGAGTGTGAGCAGCCATGTCTGCACTGGGATTGGGGAGAATGGGAGGCCTTGCTTGCCCTGGGGAAGCTGGGAGGCTAATGGGCGGCCATGCGGGCATCAGCCAGGCTGTCCCAGGTGGGTGTAGGCACCTTTCCACCCCCACTCATCTTCTGTATTAGCTGGAGGTTGACAGGTCACTGGGTGCGCCTAGGAACCAGCAATCAAAGCACTGGCTCATGATTGGAAGGACCATGAAAGAGGTCAAAGCAGCCTTGCTCCCAGGAGTGGTGCTCCCAGCTCAGATGTGCCTGATGCTGCAAGGAAATGTGTCAGCATTCTCTCTTCCATCCCTCTGGCTTCCACTGCAGTGCCCCAAGCCAAGTGGGTCCATCTTATACCTGTCTTCACTCCTTCTGCAACCTCCAAGGGAGACTTAGCCAGGCCCCATGTTAAGTCCCACATGCCTAGGTGGCCACCTCAACCCCCAGAGAGCTTGTTACAGTTAGTCTGCAGGAAAGGACTCAGGGCTGAAGCCAGACTCCCTCCCCACTCCCCAGATGTGGTGATGGTAGAAGTCAGGGTGATAGCAATACTGAAGAGGGTTGTGTAAGAAGGGACTAGTCACCACTCATAGTCTGGAGTGTGTAGTGCTGTGATCTGATCCGCAGGCCCCTTCAGATGGTGTCATGCCATTGCCTTGAGGTATATGGAAAATGCATATGTGTTGTTGCAGTGTTTGCTGTGTCATTACATTACATTAATTTACATTGCACTTAGGTGGCCTTTTACTAGGGGCTCCAAAGCCAAGAGGGACCAAGTTCAAGGTCAGCTCCTGGGTGGAGCGTGTATGTCCTTAGCTGCATGTCTCAGTGCCTCCCATACCCCATGGGAGTACAAAGACAGGGAGGGGACCTGCACTGGGCCAAACTAGGGATCGTGTTAGGGCAGGCCACTGTTTCTGATCTGTTTGGGGGGGGGGGAGCAGGACAGCCATTTGCTTTGGTTAAATTCATTGATCATGACTCTTTTAACCACTGCCAATGAGTCACTTCTGACTCATAGCAACCTTATAGGATACTGGGACTATGCCACAGGGTTTCCAAGGCTATAAATCTTTGTAGCAGCACACTGCCTCATCTTTTTCCTGCATATTGGTTGGTAGGTTTGAACCACCAACCTTTTGATTAGCAGCTAAATACTTTAACCACTCTGCCACCAGAGCTCTGTTTTTTTCAAAAGCCACCTCTAAAGGATGCATTTTTGGGAGAGGACTTCTAGCCCCACACTGGGGCCCGCCTCTGGCCCTCGACGTCACTCACCCTCTGTGCTCTCAGGGCTTTCCTCTCCAGGAGTGGCTGCAGGGGTCTACACAGGTCATGGCCTTTGAAAGTCTATTGGCTCTGAGCCACTTATTCTTTAATAAAATTATATATGGGGCAGCTCTGTTTTGTCCTATATGGTCTCTATGAGTCAGAGTGCACAATAGGTTTGGTTTGTGCTTTTGGTTATGTTTTTGTGTTTTCCATTAATATTACATTGTGGACATTTAAGTTGTTAAGTGGTACGTGAAACATATCTTATTACTCCATGTTAATATGCGTATGCACACAAACCAAACCCACTGCCGTCAAGTCAATTCCAGCTCATAGTGACCCTGTTGAACATAGGGTTTTTAAGGCTGTAAATCTTTACAGAAGCAGACTGCCTCTTCTTTGTCCCGTGGAACAGCTGGTGGGTTCAAACTGCCGACCTTATGGTTAGCAGAAGAATGTTTTAATCGCTATACCACCAAAGCTCTATGTATACGTATATGTGTATATTTACGTATACCAAAAAACTCATTGTCATCAAGTCTCTTCCGACTCATAGTGACCCCCATTGGGTTTTCGAGGCGGTAAATCTTTACGGAAGTAGATTGCCCCATCTTCCTTCCATGGAGTGGTTATTGGGTTTAAACTGCCAGCCTTCTGGTTAGCAGTCACATGCTTTTGGCATTGCACCACAAGAGCTCCTTATATGTATATAAGTATATATATAGAAATTGCTTTGGGTTTTCATCATAAGCTTGTGACTCTTTCTGTCATAGTGGTTATACTGTTAGATCTTTTGGACAAGTATTTTTAAGTGTTAGTTTCTAGAATGGAAACACTGCCTGCCTTTTTTCAGTTAGTCTTTTGTAAAGGAGCATTCCTGTCTTCTGAATGGTTCTTTCTTGGGCTGTGACTGATTTTCTTGGTCTTATTGGGCCTCACATGGTTTCTGTGTTCCAGCTGTGCCCCAACGAGCAGGCCACAAGGTGGTGGAGACCATTGACAAGCTGGTGATGCGTGTCGTGGAAGGGAGCCTGTCTCCCAGAGAGCGAGCCACACTTAAGGAGGACCCTGCTCACTGGTAGGTCTTTAGATGCCACAAAAACCAACATATCCCTCCCACAGAGCTGATGAGGGCAGAGGGCAGGATGTATAAGATGTGGTGTGGTACAGCTGGAAGAGCATGAGTTTGGGCCACGCTTACTGGGGCCAGGCCCCAGCTCTGCCATATCTACCCAACAGCAGGAACAGGCTAGAGTCGTGTATCTGGGCTGTGTGACATTGGGTTGTTTTCTCCCCTTTTTTCCCCACAGTGTGTTCTCTACAGTTGTCCTGTGTTTTTCACTTCACATAATTTTGTCCGTGGCTGCATAATATTCCATCTTACACAGGTAGCAGACCTACATACCTCTGCCATTGGTGGGATCTTAGATGTATCTGTTTATCTCCCACTCTAAATAATAACATCATGATGAGCATTTTTTGCTTGTATTTTTTTCTGTCTACATTTCTGACAGTTTTATTTAGGGGAATATCTGGGAATGGAATTGCTAGGCCAGAGTAAAAGCATTCTAAAAGCTTTTGATCTGTGTCAACGTTTCTCACCCTTGGCACTGTTGACATTTGAAGATGATTCTGTGCTGAGAGGGGCCATCCTGTGCATTTGAGGATGTAAGCACCATCCTTGGCTGCCCCCAACCCACTGATGCTGCCAATGTTAGTAGTACCCTCCATCCTGGTTGTAACTACCAGAAATGTCTCCAGATGCTGCCTAGTACCTGGGTGGGGGGCATGGTAGCCCTGGTTGAGACCTTTAAGGTATACCATTGGATTACATTCTGTGATTCCTGCGGAAATGTATACCCTGAAGCCACCCTGGGCATGCTGGACCTGCACTTGAGTGACATCTTGGCTTGTGTTCTTTCTTTAATTAGCAAGCACAGACATTCCTCCATAGACCATCTAGTTATAGTTCCTCTTTAGTTAATGTCTTTTCTACTAACATTGTAGCAATATGGGACTGGTAGGGTGTGTTTTTTTTTTAAACTTTTAATTGTGATTTGGGTGGAGGTTTATAGAGCAAATTGGTTTTCCATTCAATTCATACATGTTTTGTTTTGTGACATTTATTGCAATCCCCACAATGTAATAGCACTCTTCAGTGTTCACTTCCTCCTTGTGTTTACCATTTCCCTTCATCCTTCTTTCTTATCCCTCCCGCCTTCTGAGCTTTATCCCTGGGCAAATGCTACTCTTTGATCTCGTATGTATGGTTGTTCTAAGGAGCACATACCTCCCTGGTGTTACTGTTCACATCACAGGCCTGTCTGCTTTTTGGTTGAAAGTTTAGCCACAGGGGTGAATTGGTTTTAGGAAGAGTGTCTAAGAGTCATAGTCTTGTGGATGGGACCTAATATACTCTATATAGCTAGTAGAGATTCTTCAAAGGCACAAACTTCTATCTAATGATACCAGAGATGGACTGCTTGAGGGAGTCCCCCAGCCCCAGAAGGCAAGGATATCAGCAGCAGAGTGCTGGTGCCACCCATGGCCTCTTTGTGCCACTGGGGACAGTAGAGGAGGGGCTTGGAGCACTCAGTGATGCCCTGTACAGTCACTCTGTGGGATAGTGTCTGTGCCTGGCCCAAGGACCTCAGGGGACCCCGCTCTCAGAAAGTGCTCAGTAGAACTGCTTTCAGTAGCAGCTTGGTATCTTGACACCTATTCTGCTATTCGTGTCTTTCATAGGTTCCTGTCTGATGAGGACAGCCTGGAATACAAGTATTACAAGCTGAGGTTGGCAGAAGTGCAGCGGGGGAAGCAGGCCTCAAGGAGTGACGGCCAGCAGCCAAGCTCAGCAGAGTGTGCAGTCAGGGCCATGCTCTATGCCAGGGCTGTGCGGAGCCTCAAGAGACGGCTCCTCCCAGGGCGGCGGCGGCGGGGTCTCCTCCGTGCACCAGGGTTCCGGGGCTGGAAGGCAAGGAGCACAACCACTAGCACCCAGACTCTCCTCTCATCGGGTGCCAAGCTGCGGCACCAGAGTCGAGGGGTGCCCACCAAGCCCCAAGGAGATGTTTCTGCAAGGGACTGCCCGGCAGAGCCAGCAGCACCCACTCCTCAGGACCCCAGCTTGGAAGCCTCAAGCCCACCGCCCAAGCCGGCAGAAGTAGATGCCCCCGAAGCCCCTAAGACTGCTTCTCCCTGCTCATCTGCTGATGGTAAGTGCCACCATCCCTGCTCATCCCTTTCCCCCAGGCCCCATCCTGACCCTGATCTCCTGGTTCTCCCAGAGAGGTGGCCACACAGCCTGGTGAGGCCTGGTTGTAGTGAGGGGCCTTGCAGGATGAGCTCCCAGGAGGGCCACCCTGGCTCCCTCGTCACATCTGTGCAGAACATCTCATCTGGACTCTGACTCCTGGAACTGCTGCTGTCTCTTGACCTGCCTCTTCCTCCCCAGGGTCCCCTGTCTCCCTCCTCAGGGCTAGCCAACCTACAGGTTCTCTAAGTGGTGCCTTGGCCTTCACCTAGGCTGTTCCTGTGGACAGAGCTTTCATCCCAGGAGTGAGGGCCCCATCCTGCACAGCTACCACACCAGCCACCTTACTGCATGACAGACAACTCAGAACAGAGTCTGCAGGGGTGGTGGGAGGTTTACAGGCAGCAGTGGGGGTCCTAGACCACCAGTTTAGCTGATGTAACAGGATTGTGTACCTCATTCCTGCTAGCTTCCTGGGCATGTCCACTTATGGTTGGATTTTAGGCAGGGGGCCCATGGGCCCCCTATTACCATTCGCTTGGAGCCAGTCCCGACAATGCGTTTGTGTTTACAGTTGATGCAAAGACGATGGAAACGGCTGAGAAGCTGGCGCGGTTTGTTGCTCAGGTGGGACCAGAGATAGAGCAATTCAGCATCGAGAACAGCTCTGACAACCCTGACCTGTGGTGTGTACTGCTGGGCGTGTAGAGAGTTATAGATCCATTCTACTTTGTGGAGGCATGGGGGGCAGACACACTGAAGTAGAAGTCTCTGGTCTTTTGGAGGCATCAGGAAAAGCTCTCTAGAGGGACGTTTTCATGAGCTTAAAACCAAGCAGAGTTGGCTAAGGAAAGGGACAGAGGGAATCCTTGGGACAGAGGGGCCAGGAAATAGCCCATGTGTCCAGGGAGCTGTATAGGGCCAGAAGGGAGGTAGAGACCAGCCCTGTAGGGCATGTGGCCCACGGTGACTCTTCCTCTGGCCCAGGTTGCCAGGGAGCCTGGCCGTCCCCCGCCACATTGTGGCAAGAGGCAGCTCAGCCTCGCTTCTAGTCTCTGGTCGTCAGTCCTGACTTGGGTTCTGATGATGGCCAATTCCACAGTGATGACATCCTTGTGCAGGGTGGGGATGAGCGTTATGGCCCTGTTTCTCAGGACGTTGGGGTCAGGCTGAGGTAGGGGCACTATGAAGGGGAAGACAGAGTTCATCACATTGTGCCTCTAGCTCCCTCCTGACCTGCATATCTCTCACTCCAGGTTCCTACATGACCAGAACAGCTCAGCTTTCAAGTTCTATCGGATGAAAGTGTTTGAACTTTGCCCCTCTATTTGTTTTCCATCATCTCCTCTCACCCTCCGTGTGGACTCCCGGGAAGGGGACAGGGCGGGTCAGGACGAGCCTCCTCAGAAAGAGGCTGAGGTGGAGGAGGAGGAGGAAGAGGATGAGGAGGAAGCCCCTGCTCTTGGAGAGGCCTCTGGGCCAGGAGGAGTGACCGACGCATCTGGGGGCTCTGAGGGCAGCACCCCTGCTGATGGGCTCCCAAGTGTGGCCACTGAGGATGACCCGGCCAGCACCCCTGCCCCATCTCAGGCCCCTTCAGGGACCTACTTCCCCCGAAAGAGGGTCAGCAGCAAGTCACTGAAGGTTGGCATGATCCCGGCCCCGAAGAGGGTGTGTCTTATTGAGGAGCCCAAAGGTGAGAGCTGTGGGGGTTGGGGGTGTTTCTGCACTTCCTGCAGGGGACATGGGCACAGTGAAGGTGGGTTTGGATGCTGTGGGCCCTTTTCTTCCTAACCTACCCCCATCCTGCCTCTGCCTGTACCCTAATGATGGTGATCTAATCTGTCAGTACATGAATTCCCCACAGTCTTCCAGCCCCTGGAGCAGTGTATTGGCAAGTGCCCAGGTCTGTGTGCCCACAGTGCGTGGCTTTCTTGTCATCTGTGTGTGTGGGTGGGGGTTGTTGGTTGACATCAAGTCCATTTTGACTCACTGACAACCCCACAAGTGCAGATTAGAATTGTGTTCCACAGGGGTTTCAAGTCTGTAACCTTTAGGTGACAAATTTCCAGGCCTTTCTTCCGAGGCCCCTCTAGGTGAGTTTGACTGGCCAGCTTTCTGGCTAGGAGTTAAGCGCTTACCCATGTGTACCACCCAGGGACTCCTTTGTAAATGTGTTTTTGCTTAAGCACTTCATGGATCTGCATCCAAGTGAGGTTTCACTTATGGCAAGATAAAACTCATGTTTCTACATGGTCTGGAGCTAACACTCAGGGGGCTTCCTGTGAGCCCCAGGTGCTATGTACATCTGTATCTGTACTCTAGCCCTCGAGGAAGGGGCCACCTTTCCACCTGTGACCTTGGGCTGCCGGCTTTGTCCACCTGCCTGTGTTTGGTCTAACACCAGGGGGCAGCCTTGCTCACTCCTGGAGTGAGGAGCACAGCAGCACAGAGTCCAGAGCAGGCTCCATTCTTTGTTGCCAACCTTGGCCCACAGGCAGTGCCTCACTGCCAGATGGAGCTGGCGTTCACTCCTGGAGGTAGACTAGGGTGCTTGAGGTCTGTTCACACAGGATAAAATTCATCCCTTTCGAGAAATGGACAGCATCCCTTCCCTACTCACCCCTGCAGCCCTGCCCTGGGTTCTGGTTCTTTTAAACCATCACTGGACAGAATCAGAGCGAGCTTGGCCTTTTGTGTTGGTGTCTTCCCAGCACATGGTGTGGGCTGTCTACACTACACCACCTTTCCTGCCAAGGCTGCTTCTCATGACCTTCCACCTGTGTTATCACCTGGGGAGGAGGGAGGCAGGGACCAGTGGGTTGGGGAATGAGGACTGTGGTGAACTGTCCTCATCCTTTACGCTTGTTTCAGTCCCTGTCCCACCTGACCAGCTGTATCATCACAATCCTGTGACAGCAGGGGGCATTCAAATGCCACCCTCCCTCTGGGGTTGTACTCAAAAGCCATGGGGACAGAATGGACCTCCAGCTACTGTGTCACAACTCTTGTGTCCTTCACATGTGTCCCAAGTGGCAACTACATGTCAGAATTCAGACGTGTCCTCCTTGGGGACAATGGAGTTCTCTTTCTCTTCTGGGAGCTCTAGGTTCTTCATCAGAAAGCCATATCTTGGCTGAGAAGCATGGTTCCTATTTACTGGAAAGTTCATGTGGACTTTAATCCTTGCCAGGGGAATGGGAGTACATGCAATGGGTGGGTGCCCTGAATAATCCATCCATTGAAGCAAAATATATCCCTGCTGTCCTGGCAGACAGTCCAAGTATCAATTCCTTTGTTATTAATTTGGGGCATTTCATTTCTAAGTAGATATTCTCAAGTCTTAACTGACTCTTAACTCTTAAAGTGTGGCTGGGTCGGGGTGGGGCATAAAGGTCAAAAGTACCTTTTGTCATCAGGGGCTGTGACCCTGAAGTTTCTCCCGAAATAGATTGGGTGACAGTGCATACATGTATATGTTTACATTTTCTTTTCCAGTTCATGAGCCAGTTCGAATTGCCTACGACAGGCCCCGGGGTCGTCCCATGTCTAAAAAGAAGGTGAGATTGCCCACCTCTTTGAGTCCTTGTGAAGAGTGTGGTCGATAACTTCATATTTCCACTGAGACGTGAGCAAACAGAATGAAGGAGGCCATCTTCCCTCCCTGAGGATTAGGAGGTGGAGTCGTCAGCCCTTGATTAAGTGGTCACCTGAGATGGCAAGGTCAGACTTTGCCTCCAGGATGGTCAGCATTGAGGGCTGTCACAGTGATGAGAGTTGCTGGGAGGGTGCATGTGCTGGGTCGTTGTGTGGTTGGCATCTCCTGTGTGCTCGCACTACCCCCCTCCCCAGCAGTGGGACAAGGACTGTAGCAGACACCCTGCCCCTGTGCTGCCTATGCACTTGACAGAGACAGATACTGGGAAGAGTCCATCATGGTGACATGACATGGACTCAGGTCTCCCTGAGTGGGTGATGTTGAACAGTGGCTGCTGGAGCTGAGGGCACGGCCTTGTGGGGTGGGAGTCAGGACTGTGGCCTCCCCTAGGGGCTCCTAGGGCCGTGCTGGGATGAGATAGAAGAGGAAGGTGCTCAGCCTGGCCCCCAGCATCTGCCTATACCTCTTGCCTCAGGTCATAGCTTTTCTCTTGATTCTCTGAGAGACCAGACAGGATTGCTGTTAAGACACAAAAGGCTGGGCTAGTCCACACCCCTTACTGCTCCCTCTTAAGCAGTTTCTGGAATGAGTGACCCTGCCACCCTGCATGTATGCTTACACATGTATTCGTCTACACAAATGCATGTGTACATGCATGTCCTGTTTCACCTCCCAGGGCTCCCACTTCATTTTAGTGAGCTATGTACCTCCACATCTTTTTGCCTGTTTCAGGGTGAGCCCAGGGACCGACGAGCAGCAGGCCTGGTGCCACCACTACTCCCTCACCCCACCCCCACTGCCCCCCAGAGCATTGGGTTGGTACTCCGGTCTTGCATCTTCCCCCACCATGTTCTTTTGGCTCTGGCTTTCCAGTGTGGTAGAGCTAGTGCCTGAGCACCCAGATGGGGGCACATCTCTGGGCTCACTAACCTCAAGGCCTCAGGATGCACACTGCCCCTACCCTGGAGTCTTCCTCATAGTCTTAATGCTGCAACTAGTGTGGTTATAGTAGGCCTGAGAGGCTGGACTGACGGCTAGGCATTTCAGCCACCCTGCTGGGACCTCAGGCCAGTAACACCCCACTTAAGCTCTGGTAACTCAGTTCCAGAAATACTCCCCCCATATCAGGGATGTTGGGGCCCTAGAAAGTCAGCTCTGTGTTCCACTGTGTTGACCGTGGTGTCCCACGTCAGCATGTCACACTCAACTGAATGGTGAACGGGTCCCAAACCTAGAGGTGTGGGCTCTGTTCTCAGGGCTGTCAGAGCCAGGGAAAATCCAAGGGCTGTGCTGAGTGCTGTTTCATTGGGAGAGGGGAGGCCCCTTGCTGTGCTGAGTGCTGTGCTGAATCCATATGCTTTCTCTGCTCAGAAACCCAAGGATTTAGAATTCGCAGACCAGAAGCTGACAGACAAGAATGTGGGCTTCCAGATGCTCCAGAAGATGGGCTGGAAAGAGGGCCATGGCCTGGGCTCCTGTGGGGCTGGCATCCGGGAGCCAGTCAGTGTGTATGTAGTTCAGAGCTGCAGTGGGCAGTAGGCGGCGCCACGCCTGGGGAGGGGGTGGCTGCAATGGGCCGGTCCTTCGGTGCTTTGACCCAAGCCAGACTCTGGTCCCCCTTGTGCTGAAGATAGGCTTAAAGCCATCGTGTTTCTGATTTTAACGAGAGCAGCTCAGACACGAGGCTTACTGTCCACACACACAAGTCCTTTCTGTGCCCATGCCAGCTGTAACCGACTTGTCAATCCCGTCAGCTGCATTTATTGTCCTCATGTGAGCTGAGGGATATTTTTGTGTAGTTAGGCTTAGAGTCTCTTTAATTTCCCAGGAGCCCATAACAGGCACCTGTGAGGGGGAGCCCCGCCTAGGGCTGCCCCTCTCACACCCACAGGCTTTTAACTAAACAGCGCAGCCCTCTAGTTTGGCACACTGCTGAGTGACCAGGGGCTCTGGTTGGCACTCAACATCCCTGCAGACTTAAGTGCCCCATGCTGACTGCCCAGGCCTCTCCAGCACCTGGCACCTGGCTCTGCTCAGGTGCATGGCTGGCTCACTGTGCCTTCTCCTGCAGGGGAACTGCCTCAGAGGGGGAAGGGCTGGGGGCTGACGGGCAAGAACACAAAGAAGACACATTTGACGTCTTCCGCCAGAGGATGATGCAGATGTACAGACATAAGCGAGCAAACAAGTAGGTATGTGCATACCTGGGTGCCTTCGGAGCTGCGAGCTAACCTGGGGCACACTGACACTCCTCCCAGAAAGGTTGATGTTCCCGCCCTCAAACATGCACACCCAAACACCACACCCCAGGAGTTATGGAAGGGAAACAGGAATGTTTGGATGTGGGTCTGTGTAACCCCCTGCCTCCCAGGACTGGCTGAAGGAATGAGCCAAGTACAGCTGTGTGTGGCTTTCCCACCCAGAACCCAGATCAATGGTGCACACTGGCTGTGGGCTGCTCCCTGCTCTGTACATGGGATGGGCCGCCTGTGGCTTCTGTCGCTCAAGTTGTCTCACAGATGACAGCCGCCCACCCTGTGCCACCAACAAGAAACAGGCTGTTCTCTAGTCGAGAGTGGACTTGGCGTCCCAGGAGGTAGTGGGTGGGCGTGGACACTCGTGTCATGGGGGCGGCGGTGGTGGTTTGTCGAATCACTTCTTAGGGTCTTAGATCCTTCTGATAGGGGTCATGCTTGTCAATATCCTCGTTCTTCCAAGTCCTAACAGCTCCTCTCTCCCCACCCCTAATATTCAACTCGGGTTTGAGCAAAATTGTTCTCTTTCCAAGTGGTCCATAAATAACGAGAGGTGGAAGCCTGAAGCAATTTCTCTAACCCCGGTTCTGACCTGGAGCCTGCCACGGATGGCCAGGGTGTGCCACTGTCTGGTACAAAGCTGTCTGTCTGGCTTTTCTTGAAGAAAACAGAATATGCCATTTCAGATATGCTGTTGATTGTTCCATTTCCTCCAAGTGCTTTTAGCAGCAGGTACTGCAAGTCTTCTTGGTTCCCTGTTCAGAAGCTGTGCTGGCCTCCAGCCCCTTTGGTGGATTTTCCAGCAGAAGGGACTCCATCCACACATGGGACACAGAAACAATTCCAGATCCTGGGTTCTGACTATTCTCCAGAATGTAGACGGAGTGTGAACCATGAGCTTCTGGACCTTTTGGAGCGAGCGTCTAGAGAGACTTGATGTGCAAATGTTATTTAGGGAACCTTATATGGGATGAAGCACCCAGGAGGCTGACAAGTCTCAGCCCGACGCATTCAGGGGAGGGACTGCCAGCAGCTTGATACCCCCTGTCTGCATGTCTCCTCAGTATCCACAGAAAAGCCACTGGGACCTCCTACAGAGGGGCGAGGGCAGGCCCTCAGGACCCAGTGCCTCTGCCCACTGAGCTGTGTCAGAGGAGAAGACTGGAGCCAGGGTGGAGGGAGCAGGGCTGCAGTTGTTTGTCATTTCTAGCGTCTGCTCCTTCAGACTTGCCAGCATTATTTCCTGTGACTATGGGTGGATTCTCTCTCATAATGTGTCTGTTGACGTTTTAAATAACTATGAAAATCTGGGCTCCTGCTGAGACGATGAGGCAGGAGGACATGAGCAGTTGAGTTTTCCTTCCTGAGCCACAGGACAGAGAGGGGTGATGAACCCTCTGCCCCCCCATGGTGCCACCCCCCCCCCCACCCCCGGCTTACTTGCTGTCTGGAGCCACACCTAGACTCCATGGCGTGCATCTCCAGTTTTTCTGGTTAGAGGTAGTCACAGAGTGTAGGAATCCCTGTGGCTGCCTGCTTCTGGAGGTTTCAGCAACTAGGAAAATTTCGAGTATCAGCCCCAAGGCTGAGCCACAGTCCACAGTCAGCCAGGCAAGCAGAGGCAGTGGGGGCAGGGTCTTTACACTTGTTTCCCCAGTCCTGGCACATTCCCTGCCTGGCCAGGGACAAGCTGGGCCTCAGTGGCCTTTTTTAAAGGCACCTAACCCCTGCCTCGGAAGGAAGGTTGGGCAATCCTACTTCCATAGTGATACTGCCTCGGTAACCCAAGGAGGGGTCGCTATGAGTCGGGGCCAACTCGACGGCACATAACAACAACAAACCCCTGCCTACCTCCCTGGAACCCAGCACCAAGGCAGTGGCTCTGTCTCGCTGTCACCTGCGCCTTAAGGTTTGCTTTGCTGATCACATTAATTTTTGACACTACACTTTTCTCAATAAGTGAAATGGCTTTATGTTTCCTGGATGTGGGCAGTCTGTCTCGGCCACCTTCTGGTTTGTGCTAAGACTGACCCTTACGCTTGGCAAAGGTAAGCACCTGGAAAGTCCCCACAGACAGGGATGCTAGGCCTGAGTAGGTTACCATCTCTGGGGACTCTTGTCGGTATTGGCACAGCAGACCTTGGACTGCTCTCACAACCTCGGTGCTCCACACAGACCTGTAGGCACCCGGGCGAGCACGGTGAGTGAGCATGTGCATGGCTCTTGGGGTCACATGTCTCTCTTGTCATTCTGGTTCCAGGGTCTCCTGAGAGGACACCAGGCATCAGGAAGTGCTGGTCGGCTGTCAGGTGCTGGCTTTGCTCGTCTCTGTTGCTGGGCTCTGCGGGGGTTTCAGCGTGTTTGGTCCTTGGTAAATCTAGACAATGTTGTGATGTTTAACAGGAGTTGTTGTTGTGAATGTTGTTCATCTCGTAGCAGTTGCAATAAACGTAGAGGAAACCAAACTCTGGTCTCTGTGGACACATCTTTAATGTCAGACCAGTGGGGGGTGGGGAGGTTCTTACGTGTCCTGGGTCACCCCAGCTGGGGGCTTTGACCCCTTAAGTCATCAGAGAAAGCTTAGTGGAGGGAGTGTCCTCACCCCAGTGTGTGTGGGGTGGGGGGAGGTGCTGAGCACAGAAAACAGCTAAGGACTAAGGAGGGTAGCCTATTCTCACTGCCCCCAACTCCTCACCACCCACAGGGCCTCACCCACTCTGGAGTCCACAAGCCATGCTATGCTGCCTGCTGTCCCAGAGCTGCCTACAGTTGCCCTGGGCCTGTACGTACAGATTGGATCAAGAGGGCTTCTAGGCCCGGCAGAATGCTGTAGAGTGTGGTCATGTTTAGGAGGTCACTTGGTGCTGCATCAGGATTAGGAAACCATGCAGCCACCCTTTAGGAACTGCTACAGGGCCCCCAGCCCCCCTGGTTGGTTCCTGACTCTGACCTTGATTGGAAGCCTGTGTTGGTCAGGGACCTCCTATATGTTGCTGTCACTGAATTAGGTGTGCTTTGCCCACCTCGGGGAGGAGGTGGGCAGGACGTAGTATTACAGGTGGCTTTGCAGGTGAGATGCAGACAGGTGTGCACTCAGCTGGGTTTCCCTCAGAGTCACTCCCTGAGAGAGTCACCCCAACCCACAGCACTTTCAGGAGACGGCAGCCACTCAGAAGTGTGTTGTCCATCCACTCCCCCTTGCCTTTATCACTGCCCGGGATGTCAAAGGTCATCTAGAGAAGGAAGCCAAGTGTGCCCTAGCAGCCTGGGGGGTGCTTCAACAACCTTCTCCCCAGCCCTGTGTCCCCTGTCCCCCAAGCACCAGTGCCACCTGTGGTTTCAGAGCAGGGCCCTGCTGTGTGTGCTCCCACACCTGCCTGCGTGCATGCCCATGTGTTCCCATGCATACATAGGCAACGCATGTCACACATGCACACAGCTCTACTGTGTAATGTAGATACCCAGACGTACACATGTATACAGGTCACACATACACTTGTATACATTCAAGTGACACAAGTAGATTTTCTTTGTGGAAAAACCAAACAGAAACTAAAGCCCAAACATGCGAGTCACTGCACTGAGGCCCTCTCCTCCCTGCCCCATCTCCATTTCCTAAAACAGAATGAAACAAGCCCCACTGTGTTCAAGCCTGGGGACTCCATTTCTCACCCAGCAGTAGGCTTGGCAGCCTCTCCAGGTGAGTCTGATTTTTAAGTTAACATTAGAATAAATAATCACTGTTGTCAGATGTGGCTACTAATCTTATGTAAAAGGGAAGGAAACACTGCCCAGTCCTATGCCATCCTCACAAATGTTGCTATGTTAGACCCAATATTGTAGCCACTGTGTCAACTCCATCGTGAGAGTCTTCCTCTTATTGCTGACCCTCTACCAAGCATGATGTTCTTCTCCAGAGACTGGTCCCTCCTGATGTCCAAAGTACATGACACAGAGTCTCACCAGCCAAGCTTCAAAGGAGCATTCTGCCTCCATGATCTGAAACCAGAGAACTAGATGGTGCCTGGCTACCACTGCCCACCACTCTGAAGGGAATCACAATAGGAGGCCCTGGATGGAGTGGAAAAAAAAATGTTCTAATGAATGCATACCTTCCTGGTATTATTGTTCACCTCACAGGCCTATTTTTGGCTGAAAGTTGAGCCACAGGGGTGAATTCAAGTCCCAGCTTGAAGGGTGTCTGAGGGCCATATCCTCGGGGGTTCCACCTGTCTCTATCAGAGCAGTAAGCATGTTTTTTTTGTTTGTTTTGGTTTTTGGGTGTTTTTTTTTTTTTTTGAGTTTTGTTCCACAATCAACTGTATGAGTTCAAAAGGGCGGCTTTTTCCCCAGAGATAAAGCTAAGAAGGCAGGAACAGATAGAGAAGAAGGAGGAGGAAGGGTAAATACTAAATAAAAAATAGGAAAAAATAAAATAGAAAAAAGAGCATTCCGGCTGTATGTCTTCCAAGAAAGATTTGTTCGTTCTTCTGGCAGTCCATGGTGTATTCAATATTGTTCGCCAATACCATAATTCAAATGCATCAATTCTTCAATCTTCCTTATTATTGTCCAACTTTCACATGCATATAAGGCTATTGAAAATACCATGGCTGGGATCCTCTTTGCTTTTTCAAACTTTAAATAAGTCCTTTGCAGCAGATTTGCCCAATACAATATGTCTTTGATTTCTTGACTGCTGCTACCATGGGTGTTGATTGTGGATCCAAGTAAAATGAAATCCTTGACAACTTCGATCTTCTTTCTATTTGTCATGATATTGATTATTGGTCTAGTTGTACGGATTTTTTCTTTCTTTATATCTATATTTATACTGAAGGTTGTAGTCTTTGATCTTCATCAGTAAGTGCTGTTAAGTCCTCTTCTTTCAGCAAGCAAGGTTATGTCACATGCATATCGTATGTTGTTAGTAAGTC